TGTGGCTAAGGATCTGCACCTGTGGCTGGAAGGTTGCCGGTTCAAATCCCGCAGCCGGCAGAGGAATCCTACTCCGTTGGGCTCCTGAGCAAGGCCCTTAACCCCAACTGCTCCAGGGGCACCCTACAATGGCAAACCCTGTGCTCTGACCCCAGGCTCTCTTCCTATCTGTGGGTATGCGAAAAGATCATTCCTAATGCAAGAAATTGTAAAGGGTTAATAAAGTGATGTTATTATTATTATTATTATTATTATTATTATTATTATTATTATTATCATCATCATCATCATCTAGATCTAGTGATCTTTCCTGCCAGCCAAAGTGCAATCCGGGGATTTTGGGAGCAGTTCTGGTGGAATTGAATAGACAGACTGGTCAGTAGGGCACAGTAAACTACACCACCAGATGACTCAAAAACGGCCATTATTTATGCTTAACTACACTAAGTTTAAAGTGTAATACGTTTAGTAAGTCGAGTTTTGTCATGTTGTATACCATGCTATCACATCCTATGTTCCATTTCATTGCAGGTAGTTGATCATACTTCAGGTCCACTGACACACTTAGGATGTTTCAAATAACCTGCCCTTGGTGCTTAGGTATGATTCCTTACAGTTGGTATTTTAAGACGTGCACACATACTCACACACAAACATGCAAACTGCACTGACATACATGTTGACTCACTCACTACGTGCACCACTTTCATTCCCTCTCACACACTGGCTGCTGCTGCTGCAAGCCCTTCCGTGACTGGCTGTCATTAATCTTCCCACTCCAGGGGCAGGATCTTGACTGGGTGCCAGAAACAGTCGAGGAAAGGCCAAAAAAACCTTCCAAAAACAGAGCAGCTTTTCTTGTTCCTAAACCGTTCCCGGCTCATGCCTTTCTGGCCCCCAGGGCTTAGCTGCAGAACAAAAGATTTTCTTTGGATGCGGCAGAGTGCAGTCAAACAAACAAAATCGTTAACATCACTTACAACCATGTTGTTTAATCGCCACCGTGGCTTGTTATTGCTTGTAAGGTGTATTTTTGTGCTGTTCCTTCTTTTTTTTGGGGGGGGAGAATATTCATAGTATGCTTTTTTCTTTAAACAAACGTGAAGCTTGTGAAGAAGTGCCCAAATGCCACCGATAGGTTTGAAAGATTGGTAGTTGACAGTGACCTCACAGCTGGCTTCAAGGAGAGAACATCATTGAATCAGTTTATCAGATTTTGTGTGACAGTTGTGGAAGGAAATACCAAACTTGCCCTACAGAATTCCCTACAGAATTTTATTAGTGATGAAAACGGCTGTAAAGGTCTCACATTAATTTGTCAGAAATGGGATTCAGATCTGAAATGTGACACCTCCCAAACAGGGATTACAGTGGGACTTCAGGTTTTTTTTATGGAGTTTATTTTTGAGCAGTATAGTTCTTAACAGCTGATCTTCTGGAGCCTTGATATTATAATACAAGTTTAGTATTTACAGTCTATGTGGACATACATTGGCAGTTGCCTCATTAAAAGAGTTTTTTGGGGATGTCTCTGCCAACTTTGTGGTCCAGCTTGATATATTGCCCACTCTTTCTCGGCAGATTTGCTCAAGCTCTTTCAAACTGCTTGGGGACACTCCTCCAGCATGCCCACTGTTTGAGCGGAGTTGCAACCAGGCCCTGCAGGACAGACACAGTAGCAGCAATCAAAGGAGTGAATGCCTGTCCCTGAACTCACACACAACCTTCTTGTCACAGTAGATCCTCTGACTGACTCACACCCACACAAGCCCAGCAATACTCAGCTGCAAAAACTGCACTGTTGAAAACTGTCATTTGGGGGATATAGAATTAGGTTTTATATACAGATGTTTTGAAATTGATAGAAATGTGAAGTAATCCAGCTGCCTTGGGACAATTTAGAAAGTAATTACAGTGGGTATCTAACACAGTCCAGACAAAGCGAGACTTACTGTAAAAGTCTTGAAACATTGGATTAGGATTAAATACAGGAAAGTATTTTGAAGAGTTTACAGTGGTTACGTCTGACTTTGTGGGTTGTCATAACCTTCACCTTTACTAATTAATTTGTTTGTGATTGCTTCTCCTGTGTGTTATACATAGAAATGGGATTATAAGGATACAATTCCTGTGGATAATAACTGTACACACCAGAGGGTGTTAAACTGGCTTACTGTGACCACCATCTGGATCTTTGATGACTTGGAATGTACTGTAGATGCTTATAACTATTAAGTGTCCACTGTCAACATCCAACATGATGGAATAGGTCAAATAATTTTCTAAGCACCTTTGATTTATCAGGTTTTTCCAATGATCTGACAAGAAAGCTTTAATGTAATCTTTAAAATTGATGAAGACTAAAGTGAAGTACAGAGTTGCTTAGAAGATGAGGAATTAGTAGTATGTGTCTATTTTGGGTACTTTTCTGCTAATGAGATTCTGCCAAGACATCAACAAGTGTAAAGAAATTGAAATCAAATTTATTAAGATTCACTCTACATATTGCACAGGTGCCAAGAATGAACCAAGCTTTGTCTACTTGCATTCAGTAGTTCAGTAGTGTCATCTCGGATGTGGTTACATTTATCTTCTCTCAGCCCTTACCTCAAATGACAAGACTACAGCACTGAGTAGAAATAAATAGCAGTAATTCTGGAGAGTAAGTGAGGGACTGGGCAAGCAGGACACTTTGAATTGAACATCTATCCATTTTTTAACCGCTTCATCCAACTCAGGGTCACAAGGGCACCATAGCTTATCTCAGCAAGCAGCAGGCACAAGGTGGGCCACTCCTTGAATAGGACGCCAGTCCATCACAGGGCACATACAGACATGCACACACTCGCATCAGGGCTATTTTTCTCCGAAGCCAAGTAACCTACCAGTATTTCTTTGGACTGGGGGAGAAAACCGGAGCACCTGGAGTTAACCCGCACAAACACAGGGAGAATAGACAAACTCCATGAGGATAACACCCCAGGTCCGGAATTGAACCCAGGGCCCCAGCGCTGCAGTGCAGCAATACTAACGGCTGCACCACCATGCTATGCTGAATTGAACATGTAAAACTTAAAAGTGAAAAATGTCCACATTGTCAGAGCCAAGAGTGAGATGTGTGTTCTATTAATATGTTTTCAAAGGCAAAGAAAAGCTCGCTGCCTTTGATCCAGTGACATGGCAAAGTGCAGATGCTTCTTCTGACAATCAGCCCCCTTTAAGCAGGGTAGTTCTGTCAGGCTGCTGCAATCTGTTAATCAAAGCTAAGTCTTGTGGGCTTTTTGATGTGCATACCTGACATAACCAAATTTTGCCCATGAGGCAAGCTCATTTGGCACTCTGTAATATCCTCCTTCACTTTCCAGATTAACTGCTGTGGTTGAAGTTGTCACGATACAGAGTGGAATAATTGCACCCACAGCAGGGATGGCGAGACAGCAAGTTAGCAAAACCACAACTGCCGTTCTAATTCCCAGTATAATTGGTCTGTGTCCCTACACAGGGAGCAGGGTGCACTCAAATTTACATGACAAGGGGAGACGAGCAGCTCAGATGAGCATTTACGTGTATTTTCATTGTGTTGGAAGCCATTTGTTTTCTAAATAGTCATGCATGTGGTTTTGAGGAAGAATGCCATTGTGTTAATATTTTGTGGTATTCTACAGCATAAAAAAATCTCACTGTTTGAAGGAACTGCCTGTGTCTGATGTTGTCCATGTGAAACTACCCTAACTGACACGCACTATCATTAGTCTGCACAGGGCTTGGCAGAGACATTACATGCTCTTGGATTCCTCCTGTTTAAACATATTTATTTGCTGAGTATGCACACCAAGATGTGGACCGTTCCAGGGCAGAAGTATTGACTGCACTCCTTTGGTTTGGCATGGGGTGATCAACACACCCTCTGGTTGGGCTCAGAAAATGCATGTGAAATCTGTTGCTTGACATTGAGTGTAAAAAGACCTGCCTGTAAATGTTCAGCACTGTCTCATGGCATTAGCTACCGCTGTAGGTGAATTTACATAACAAAGCATTTACTAGAGTGAGACCAATTCTGCAGTACAATGATGAGAGTCCTCAGAGTTGCATTTATCAGTGCTTTAGCCTTACATTTGTTTTTCAGCATTCGTTCAAAGTCTTAAACCTGGCCTGCTTGGAGTATTTAATGTTTTTAGAGTGATGTCCTTTGTGGAAAATGGTTTTCTTTTAATATGTAGTCACCAGTTGTTATTAAGGTTGCATCAACTGCAAATACAGTACGCAGAAGTGACTGACACACAGAGAAAAGCTCCTTTGAAATAAGGAGTGTCTCAAGGTCTGCCCATCTGCAGGCTATTCATCATTTGACATGCTGGCAAGAGAGGTAGCTCTGACTGGAGGAGTGACAGGCCTTTCACTGACATCACTACAGCCTGCAGGTGCTTGGCATGTCACTGGAGTTGCTCTTGGCGACTGCTAACTGTATACATTACTGTATAATGTTAAAATGCCTTTATTATGCTTTGTAACACTGGACCAATAACAAGCTGTCGTGTATTGTAGTAAACGATCTTTATAAATATTTGTTATGGCTGTGTCCTCAGGGTCCAATAAAGTAAAGCATAGTAAAGACATGTGGAAACCATGATATAAGTGTATAAAATACCACAAGAAATTAACCAAGGTAAACTTTCATAGGATAGGGTATAGTAAATAAGCAGTCTGTTTTCTTGTAATTATAATTTTTGCCCCCGTTAATTTCCCCAGTTTATAATGTATTTAAGATAGTTCAGGTGGGTAGCTACGTCAGCATGCGTAGGCTGCAAAGGAATAAGTAATAGGTTTATTCCATGCTGAAAAGAGAAGAAAGTCTAGTCTTTTCAGCATGGATCAAATGTATTTAAGATTCACATTTATCTCCAAACACTTCATTTGAGTGAAAAACTGATCTTTGAGAGGGGATTAAGACAAGTAGGATTAGGAGTTTACATATATGTCTTTTTTTTTGCTTGTTTCAGAAATCTGGCTATTGGTATCGGAATTCAGAACTTCCCAGAGGGCCTTGCTGTCAGTCTTCCTCTGCGGGGAGCAGGACAGCCCATGTGGAGAGCTTTTTGGTAAATATATACCACTATGTAAGCCAAACTGTCTGTCACATACATTGCTGTCATCAGTATGATTTTTAATTATAGACAGTTTTTTGAGTAAAAGAGTCCTCAAAAATTATACCCATATTTCTTCCAAAAATGTGATCCAACGTTAATTTTTGTATTCTTCCACTCAATTGCCCCAAAACTGGATTGCTTGTTCAGACTGAAAAAGGTTATATTTGTGTTTAGCATTAACTTGAATAGTTCCAACAAATCAGTGCTTGAGAGGCTGCAAAACTGACATGACATCCAACTTTGTGAGGGATTTTTTAGAAGATAAACTGTCCTTTCTTCACTTAACCAATACCCTATGTTGTTTTCAAATCTTTTCTGGCTCATGAGCTGTTTATCACTTTTCAGTTCCCGGGTATTAATTGAGAGTAATAGGAAGTAGTGGATGGTTTAACCTAAACATGTGCAGTATCAAGTTGTTGTTTCATTCCATCTGAACAGCCTTCAGTTTTCACACTACTGTGCCTTTGATGAACAGAGAATAGTACAGTATTTATATTGAATAAAAAAGTAAAGGCTCTGAACCAGGCTATACTTTTGCTAGGTACAATATTAGGACCCCCAGTCCAATGATTACTCTTGAACACCGGCAAGCAGGCTAATGTATGGTTAGTGTGAGGAAGAGCATGAGTTATACTTTCCACAACATTCGTAGCCAGAACAGTCCCCAGATCTCATCCCACAGGAAAACTGATGGACCTAGTGCAATTTGCCCACACACCAGTTCCCTTACACAACCTGCCAGTGATGGTGATCCTTCTGAGCAAATAGGACTTGGGGGGCAATTATTTCAGATTCTTGCAGAATATATGAACCATCACATTATCTTGAAAGCCTTCTAAGATTTTTGCATTGATTGTATTCATGCACCATATTTGGCAGTCCATACCTGCTAAAATACAGGGACGGAAATATTCTCGCAGGCGTCACCCAGCCATTGCAGCAGAGACACATTGCATGAGCCTCACCAGCTTCCACACCAAGGACAGGCTGTAAGAGTTGCTCTCTGCAATGCCTGAGATCCTCATAAGTTACTGCATGTGTTGGCAGTGGACTTTTGACTTTGTGTCAGTTGTACATCCAGGACAAGCAGAGAAGGAAGGAAAACAGGGAAGGCAAAAGAAATCAAACAGCAACCTCTAATTAAAGTTAGTCACCTCCGACCAATAACTGCACACAGATCTGTATCCACACAGTTAGGGTGGAGAGTGGTTTATTGCCCATGCAAGTGCCTCATAAACATAAGAAATCAGAAAAAGAGAAAGAAAAGCCATGTCACCCTGCAACTCACAACTGGCAACCCACTGAAGCTAAGCAGGTGTGAGCCTGGTCAGTACCTGGATGGGAGACCTCCTTGGGAAAACTAAGGTTGCTGCTGGAAGAGGTGTTAGTGGGGCCAGCAGGGGGCGCTCACCCTGCGGTCCATGTGGGTCCTAATGTCCCAGTATAGTGACGGGGACACTATACCGTCCTTCGGATGAGACGTAAAACTGAGTTCCTGACTCTCTGTGGTCATTAAAAATCCCAGGGCGTTTCTCAAAAAGAGTAGGGGTGTAACCCCTAGCCAAATTTCCCATTGGCCCTTACCAATCATGGCCTCCTAATAATCCCCCCTCTATGAATTGGCTACATCTGCTCGCCTCCCCACTGATAGCTGATGTGTGGTGAGCGTTCTGGTGCACTATGGCTGCCGTCGCATCATCCAGGTGGAGCTGCACATTGGTGGTGGTGGAGGAGGGGAGTCCCCATTACCTGTAAAGCGCTTTGAGTGGAGTGTCCAGAAAAGCGCTATATAAGTGTAAGCAATTATTATTAATTATTAATTATAAAAGCCTGAAGACTTCCTTTTTGTTAGCAAGTGTTATCATCCGTGCACTGAGCTGTGTGGAAGGGATGCTTCTTTCATGTTATCTTATCTCTGCTATTGTCAGCTTTCTTCTCTCCCTTCTGTCCCTGTCTACTCAATCTTTTTCAAAAGACCCAATGATATTTCCAAATCTTTGCACCCGCAGCTTTTCTAAAGGGGATACCAGCATGTCTGGCCTCTTAGTGCTCATGACAGTTTATTGTAGCATTACTTAGCACTATCTTTGGTGTCTAAAACATACTGGAAACACTTTCAGACCACCATGAAGTCACTAAAGCAGTTTTAGGGGAGTAATTTTATTGTGAGTAAGTGAGACTACTTTTCTTTTTCTTCTTAAACCTTTTGGCCAATCGCTGTTTGTTAAATACATCAGAAAAGCTGTTTGAATTGTTTTTATGTCAACTGCAGAGCACTGCACTTCAGCCAAATAGCATTTATTTATTATGCTCAAAGGCACTTCTGAAGGTTCTCCCCATGTAGTTGGTGATTCCAAGCTTTGTGTTCATGATTTCCCATGTGAATTCAATAAATGATGTTCCCCTACAAATAAAAGAGAAAAAAAATCCCCATAATTTTAGTGCCTTGCTCCTGCCCATCAATCCTCAGTGTGTATGCCAATCCTCGTCATGCTAAATGGTTTGCTCCTGTAGGTACGGCCAACTGAGTGGGATGGTAGAGCCCATCGCCGGAGTGCTGGGGGCTTGTGCAGTGGTGCTGGCTGAGCCACTGTTGCCCTATGCTCTTGCGTTTGCTGCAGGAGCCATGGTCTATGTGGTGATGGATGACATCATTCCGGAGGCGCAAGTCAAGTGAGTGCTAGGACTCCCAGCACAGCAGGCTGAGCCTGGAATGAATGTGACTAATGTGCTCCCATGATGTGGCAACCCAGCAGTAAACAAAAACACAAATTAACCTGCAGCATCACTAGGATTGCTGTGTCCTCCTAAATGTATGTAAATATCATGGCACTGTCGTCAATTTACAGTGCTTAAATAGAAATAAAACTGAACTGCATTTCACTGCAATAAACTGAATCCTGCTTGTGCCTTTTCAGAAGATCTGAGAACATGTAGCAGGAAACAGTTATTTAAAAGTGCTTAAAACACTACGTATTGTTTTGTAATACAACTCAACCAAAAATTTAGGGTTTTCTTAAACATTGCATATTTAAAATGTAAATAGGCAAGTATACAGATACAACTGAAAAGATTCATACATGCACTATTCACAAGTTGCAGTGGGCCTGGGCCATATTTGGCAGACACTGAGCACAAGGCAGGTACACACCTATCACATTGTACACACACAACAGTGACAATTTACAGAGACAACTCAAAGAAGCTTATGAAAATTTTAGGCAGATTTCTTAGCGTCTCTCTGTTCTCTTTGTTTTTTCTGAGTTGTCTTTTATGATGGTAAAATGTCTAAGTCAAAGCCATACTTGCCAAGTGCCAACAAAACCATGAATTGACAGGTCTCTACATCAAAAACATTAAATTAAATAAATAAACAGGTATAAGGAATGGCGTGCTGCCAGGTTACACCATTGTGTTCCAGACTCATGTACATCTAGTTCTGTGTACAGTATTACAAAAGTTCTTTCAAAGCTCTATTATTTTTATAACTTTTTTTCCAGCTTAAAAGCACTTACAAAATGTCACTAATTCTCTGTAATCTTCGATCTGCAAACCTGCTGCTTATAAAGGCACTTTGTCTTTTTGTACTTTAACTTTGATTTTTGTGTTGAAGAGAAAATAGCACCAGATCCAAACGTAGCTCTTTAGGAATGCTTTTTTTTTTTGAATGATTCTTTAAAGCTCCCAAAACGCCATTTTTCTACAGTAAGCCCTTTGTATGTGCTGGTGTGACCTTCAGAAATGAGTCCTAGAGAGTTCATGTGAACGTGGCAAGTGTAGTGTTGGCTCCTGTGCCTTCAGTGACTGTGTGGGTGTGTCTTGCAGTGGAAATGGGAAGCTGGCCTCCTGGACCTCCATCTTTGGCTTCGTTGTGATGATGTCACTCGATGTCGGGTTGAGCTGACGTGCTTTCACACTGCTGCCAGATCATGGAATGTTGCGTCCATCCTTAATAAAAGGGACAAATTGTCATATTTTTTAATTAAGTCTTTCATGTCATGTTTACTGAGGAAATTGGAAATTAAGAAGCTGAAATGTATTTTATTTATTTTTATGTAACAATGTAAAAGAGTAGGCAATGCAATTAGTTAGAAATCCAAAATTGCAAATAATTATTTTCTTCCACATGTAAAGACATCTGCAGCCAAATTTGGTTTCAGACAGAGTATTTCTTCCAATAAATATACAGGATGCCCTTATGCCATTTGCAATTTTAAAGCCATCGTTTTTCTAAAACAGTTGCACTGACCGCCGATTCGATTCCAAGATTGTCCAGAAATGGTTTGTTGTTAATATTTGTCGTCATTGCCCCCGACATGATTCTGGATTCTGGTGGTCTCAAACTTCATTTTCTTATCTGTTAAGTTTTTCTTATGAACCATTGCAAATCATTGCAGTTAACTGCTCTGCTGATTTCTGGCATAATTCTGTATTTTCTAGCAATGCCAATGCTTTTCACAACAGTGAATGGATACAAAGAAAGGTACATTTGTGGGCCTCAGCAAGACTTTTGAAGACACTGATTTGTGCTGGTGTGAATTTTTCAGCCATTGCAACCTCCTTTGATCCATATTTTGTATGGATCTGGAATAACAGTCCCAGAGGGTCACCGCAGGGTTCTCTGGTCTTTATTCTTCTCCTGGCCTTTAATGATGTAATCAATCTAATTATTTGGGCAAGAAGTGAAATCACCTGTTTTTGTTAGTCTTAATCAGTTGGTCATGGTAAATTATCTTATAAATTCTGGAAATCTGGCTGTTGGCAGCTGGAGTAGCTCATCCTTTGTGTAAAAGGAAAAGTGTGATACCATCTTGAGTTTCTAACACAACTCAGCCTCAGTGATAATTCTTTGGAAGAGATTTCTCAAACTGTCTTACCACAAGCATCCTTTTTTTCTCAACTGTATTTTAGGAAACATAAGACTGTTCTGTACACTAAGGTAACTTAGTTGCTGCTATCCAGTTTCACTGGACAGCTGTGCTTGATCTTTTTATGGACTGGATTGTTTGATAATTTGGAGATCGAAGTGTACAGTGGACCTGCCTGAGACCTCTCTGTTCAATGTCTGCAACAAGAATTGGACTCAAACTCTAGCCTTTCAAGTCTGAAAGATGTCATATGAGCCACTTGACCTGCAGCTCTCTTAATCTTACATAATACGTACACCAACACGCCAAGAAAAAATCTCTTTCTGTTTCTAAAAACTTTCATTAGCAGGTAGGAAGCTACAGTAAGCAGTAGTTTTTTTAAGCATAGCATGACTTTTTATAAACTGAGCTTTACACAGAGTCGCAGCACCTACATCAAGCACAGATTACTTTAAATTGGAGAGTTGAGAGATAACATCGTCTCAGACACAAACCCCTGCTTCCTCGCTGCATGCCACGATAATTATTTTCTGCTTATAAAGGATTTAAAGGCTTGTTGTGATTTTTTTTCTTTCTCTTTTTCTTTGTGCCCTGGAGGGTGTGTGAGCTGACAGAAAGTGTTGGCGAGCTGCCAAACCATGTAGTTACACACCAAACAATGTCTGTCACTGGAGGTGTGGTACCTAATGCAAAGCAATATAAACAGAATAATTCCCTGTGCTAAATGTGTGCACTGTTCGAGTTAGCATTGCTTTCAGCAAACTATTAGTGTCCTGAGACCGAGGTATTATGAAGTCTTGCTGGACTAACTTTGTTGAGCAGTGTTACAGTTATATATATTACATAGAATATTATTATTTTGTTGTAATTGACTGTTACTTTAAAATTGAGGTATGAAATTGTTGTGTAAAATTGCTGAAACATTTTAAGACTATTTTTGCAGGGTTCATTTTCAATTTTCTTCGTTGCACCTTGTGCAAAATGCATAAGAGGCACAGGACACAACAATCTCATCCCAAGGATGTATAGATATCCACCTGTGCTGTTTTGTTGTCCATGCTGTGGCTTATAGGCCAGGTGTTAATTTATGCTACATTGTAGAAATGTCACAGAACAAGCCATGGGGATAACTGAAAAGATTCAACCAAACAATACAGGTGCATAATGCTCATTACTCTTTCTGACAAAACCCTCTTCATCTTGCTGATGTCATCAATATCAAGTAAATTGCTTTGATGAACTGCTTAGGCTTAACCTGCCCACAGAGGCAGATATTGGACCAAAGTTTTGATTGTGTTGCTTCCTGTTTTAATTCTCATGTCACCCTGGAAGTGCCCTCGTAGATACTGTGGCTTGCTCTGTACTGTATATTTCTGAGAAAAGAATGTGGAGAATTAAGATGGTGTTGGAATTAATTACTTGGGTTTTTTTTAATTAATTTAATTATCTTCCATAGGTTTGTGAAGTGTTCACTTTTTCATTGCTGGTGAAAATAATTTATTGGCCATATTTCTGAAGAATAAAAATATTCTAATAACCTGTGTGTAGCTGTTTTGTTACTTCATGTAAATTTCATAATGTATCTGTATTCATTCTGTCATGCTGTCAGGAGGAGCAGACAGTGCATTGAGGTGCCAGTAAATCTTGTCCAGAAAGCTGAGATTTGACCAATGTTACACACTGTTAATTCCCTTGAGCGTTTATAGGGAGTTAGAGCATTGAAACATGGCCCATAACATCGAAATGACTCATGCTCACAATGGACGCCAAATGTGACTCCTGGGTGCATTCCTGTAACGCTAGCCCAGAGAAACTCCTCGACAAAAGCCTCACTTCACAGGCTGAGGAAACAGAGGGTCTTTCAGAGTTCAGCTCTGAGAGGGCAGAACTGACAAACCGTACAGTAGGGCCTGCGAATGGTCTATAAAAAAAAAACAGTCTATGAACTGGCTGCTTTCTCAAAGTGCCTTATACAAAACCATATATGTAAATAAGTATTAAAACTATTTTTCCTTCTCCACATCTGGGTCGGTTTCAAAATATAACACGGATAATATTGTCTCTCTTGTGAAAAGCCAAGAAAAGCCTTAGTTGGATACACTTGAGAAAAAGTAAAAACAGTAGGGTGGCCACCGCACAGCAATTGCATAATGTTTTTACCATGTCAGTACTTACAGCATGTTACTGTCACGGGTGCTGCTGTGTCCTTCATTCCTTCTGACTAACTATCAAGAGTGGAAGACTTAAGTTTGGGACCTATCAGGAGCATCCAAAACTTGCATTTTGCTCAAAGGGAAATGGGGATCTTGAAAACTATAGGGTGAAAGTTCTGTAATAATAATAATAAAAAACAAGTGATTACTGACAAGAAAAGGCTTTTTGGCTAAAGGTAGCAAGTTTACTCCCTAAAACCACAACTGACCTTTTTCTCTTTCTGGAATGCTGACTTGTTTGGCAGTTAGGTTACTGTAGCAAAATGAGTCAGCCCATAGATTTGAAAAACAGGCATTAAAGAAAGATGATCCAAAGTTCTATTGTTTTTTTTTAAGTAAAAACAATCCATTTTTCATCATAGGCCATTTTCCACTTAGAACCTTAAGCACTCTCTCTCTCTGTGTTCGTGGGATCTTTTTCATTAATGCAACTTCATTTATCTGATGATAGCTTCGGTTTAACAATACGTACACAGACATCATGTAAGACAGAAGGCATATTGGGCCTAATTGAGTGTGCATTTGAATTGACCCTCAGTTAAACAGACATGTTGGAACTTTTATGTTTCAGTCTGAAGCCTATCATTTTAACCTACTGTGTTGTGTTTTAAAATCTACACATGAGGTTATGATGGCTTCTAAATGAGCCACGGCAGTTAACAAAATACTGTTGTCTTAACTGAGAAATTGGAAAAAAATCCTCTTTGAGTAAGTAAACAATGAGGTTTGGCCTTTTCTTCACTTTTCCATTTATTTCCTGTAATAGCGAGAGAAAATGAGTATCAGCCCTTCTTGAACAATATCATTGAATAATTTAATGTTATGGGGATATTATGTGTGCATGATCAATGTTTTTTACACTCGAATGAATGAATTATGTTGAATTGTATTTTGTTATCTTTTGCTAGTATATCGTGTTTTGTTTCTTTTTCCTACAAGAAAAGCCAAATGCACAATTTTGTGGAGACCAAAATTATATATTTGGGGATGGCAAAACAAAAAAGCTTCCAAATTCATGCAGTGCAACAATATTTCAGTACTTCTCTTTAACCACTATGTGCTTCTGCCTCTTTCTCTGTGTATTTGATGTCTCTTGCTCCTCTCTCTCTTCTTCAGTCTCTCTTCTTTCCGTGAAGTACTGTTATTCATGTGAGAGGAAGGGCTTTCAGGGCAAGTTCAGTGGAGGTGCAAAATGTTCAGGGGCTGGTACACTGGTAAAGGGTCTGAAGACCACAGTAGTACTGGGTTTCTGGGTGTGCCTGTATACAGTCAGGAAAACTTATATCTAGCTCTTGTGCAGTTATACTGTATCTACCACCAATGCAGCGTGCAGTGTTAAGTGTTGTGATTGCAACTAGTTTACTTGTGGGGTTTTGTCCTATGTTACAGAAATCCTAGTTTCTTCATTTCTTTTTTTGAACAGGTTTTCTAATAATTTCAGAAACAAAGAAAATAACAATACTTATATAACAGAAGGTTAATTAAACACATGTGAGAAAGGACATGGCTAGGCTGCCTCAGTATTTTCGATAAATTAATACAATAAAACTAGCCATAGGCTTCAGTTAATGAAGTTGACCACTGCTTTTTTAACCCTTTTGTTTTTTTTGTACTAGTACTGTATATGGGCAACTTTAGTGCAATGCATCGCCTTTTGTTTGGAACTTCAGGTTGTGTTTCCCACACACACAGGTAAGAAACCCTGCAGAGTGTTTTAGCAGAGTGAAGTGATATTGCCTGCAGGCCCCAGGTTCATCAGGGAGCTGTGGTTAGAGCTGCTCTATTGTCTTGGATTCTGTCTTATGTCATTACAAGCATAGTTTTAATAATACACCAGTATGGTTTTGCTCACACTGCACATTCAGTCTTTATCTTTCAGGTTTGCGGTTTCTTTTATTGCTATGTTTAAGTACTGCTCTTGCTGTTATATCCTTCACTTCACGTAGTGTTTTTATACTTCTCTCCCTCTCCTTTTCTTCCTCTTTCCTCCTTCAGAACACCAGCCTTAATATTGATTTTCCTGAATAAAACCTTGGATTACTGTTGAAATTGTACATTTTTACAGAACATGTAGGCGATCTCTTTTAGCCCTGAAACTGACACTCCCAGTACTGCAATAAATGTTCTTTTATTCCATTAATTAACTTATTTAGTTTGGCTAAACAAGGTATTCTTTCCTTTTTAATAAAGATTCTTTTTAAATTCTCGTTGGTTAATATTTTTAAGTTCGCCATTTCATAGTTCACTTTCATATGCTGTGTTTGTTAGTAAACCCCTGTAAGAGCTGGTTTCATCTATGCAATCCATTCATCCTCCCGTTCCCAGAAAGTACCCTACTAACGGTAAGGATTGTGGCAACCCAGTGAGTATTGTGGTTGCACAGGACATATTGTGGGTCTATACCGTGGATGGGACCAGCACACAGGGGCAATGAACAGCAATCTATTAACCTAGCCAGTCTGGAAGGTGTGAGGAAACCTGACAAAAAATAACACAAACATAGTGAGTATTTCTGTTAGGGGTAAAGAAATGTCAAACTAACTCAAATCTAACTTTAAAAAAAAATGGTGAATCATGTAGCAATATTCAAACTGCAGTAATATAGTTTGTTGCATAGATTGACATACACTGCACAGAAAACATACATTTTCCTTTCTGTTTAAAGCAAAGCCTTATCATTAATTATTATTGCTAAATTACAACCTATGAGACTTTGTCTTATGTTTTGGTTAAGTAGATTGAAATCAACTCATCTGCAGCTTCAAAGTGATTCCAGTACTGATAGCTGCTAAAGATGGTAATTTCAGTGTCAGAAACTACAGAGATATAACAATTGCTGCCTTACAAAATCCTATTATTAAGGTGCCAGGTAATCTTTTTATTTATCAGGAGCAGTTTGCAAATGGCAGGCCGTCACTGATGGAGTAGAAAGCGAAATATTAGGCTGAACAGCTTTTTTTCCCAGTGTAAGATAAAGGGAACAGAATCTCTTCTCTTGTGTCTGATAGATAGATACTTTATTGATCTCGTGAGGGAAATTACAATGCAACAGCAGCTTCACACACACAACACAGCCACAGTGTAATGAATTATATAATAATATAATAATAATAGTACAATACATACAATACAATACAAGAGTTACTCACAGTCCGGACACACAAAGAACAAACTAGAACAGAACAGAAAAATTGTATCACACATATGAATATAAATATAGATGTAAATATAGATATGGATGTAAATATAGATATAAATGTATTGCACAGGTCCCTGGCATATATTGCACAAAAAATGGTTGTAAATGGGAAAAAGAAAGAGAACAGATGTAGCAGTAGATGTGTAGATGCGTTTACTCCAGAAACAGGTCACTGTCGATGTTGCCTCTGCCAAGACGCAAGGTGGATGCGTTGTACAGTCTTATGGCAGACGGCAAGAATGACCTCCTGTAGCGCTCCCTGTCGCACCGTGGATGAATCAGTCTATTGTTGAATGTGCTCTTCATTCCTGCAAGCCTGTCATAGAGGGGATGGGAGAAGTTGTCCATGATGGCCTCTAGTTTGGACATCATTCTCCTCTCAGGCACTACCTCCAAGGGGTCAAGGTCAGACCCAATGACAGAGCTTGCTCTCCTGATGAGCTTGTTCAGCCTTTTAGAATCCACTGCTTTAATCCCAGAGCCCCAGCACACCACTGCGTAGAAAATGGCACTCGCTACCACCGACTGATAGAACATATGTAGCATCTTACTACACACATTGAAGGACCTGAGCCTCCTCAAGAAGTAAAGTCGGCTCTGTCCCTTTTTATAGATGGCCTCGATGTTCTTAGACCATTCCAGTCTATCGTCGATGTGCACTCCCAGGTGCTTGTACGAGTCCACCATCTCCACGCCACTCCCATGGATGTAGACAGGAGTAGGTTTGTTACATTCAGTTCCGAGTGGTTCACCCCACACCACTCCACAAAGCTGCTGACCAGTCCTCTGTACTCCTCCTCCTGCTCACCCTTGATACATCCCACATTTGCAGAGTCATCTGAGAACTTCTGCAGGTGGCATGACTTTGAGTTGTACTTAAAGTCCGAAGTATAGAGGGTGAAGAGGAATGGAGAAAGAACTGTCCCCTGAGGAGCCCCTGTGTTACTCACTACCTGTTCAGACACACAGTTCTGAAGTCTCACAGACTGTGGTCTGCCTGTCAGGTAGTCAGTGATCCACGAGGTCGTGGAGGCATCGACTTGCATCTCCTCCAGTCTGGTAGTCTTAGTGATGAAAATGTTGTTGCATCAGAAGCTTACAAAATGTTAGAGAAGTCGATGATACTGTGGTTGAATAGTTTTATACATGCACATTGTTAATTGGATTTTGAGCAATTGCATATGCAAGAATAGGATGATCCTGAGTCAAAGAAAAATGCACTGGCAACATGGTCACAATGATATACAGTGCCATGACTCCTTATTAACAGCCTTATATACAGTAGAAAAAGTAAATGTCTGCAAAAAATCCTTGGTTTTGATTATTTGATTTCTCGCAGTAAGAATATGCGTAACTTTTGTTGTTTTTATCATACTCGACACTAATTGATTGAGATTGAGTACTAGCTGCCAATTGACCTTACACAGCAAAGATAAAATAAAGGTGCAGTGTAACATCAGGTTTGGGAAAATTTGTTGTACTCGGCAACTGTTCTGTACCTGGTGCCCAACTTAACAAAGAACACCACCCTAATAATCCCTTGTGTTATATTAGAATATAGTACACCTCTTTACAGAGGTATGCAAACATATCATTCAGTAGATATTCGAATCACAGAACTAAGTAACAATTGATAACACATTTAGATACAATAGAAACCAGCAATTGGTAAAAAAGTAATATTAAAGCCTAATTAGCATTGCTGCCTCACAGTGCTGGAGCCCTGAGTTCAGTTCTAGGCCTGAGGTGCTATCTTTGTGGAGCTTGTATGTTCTCCCCATGTTCGCACAAGTTTCTTTCAGGTGCTTTAGTTTTCTCCAACCTGTTACTTGCCAAGATAGGTTCTGGCTTCCTCATTGCTTCTGAGTTAGAAGAAGCAGTTGACAAATGGATGGGTGGATGACGCCTTATTATAGATGTGTAGGAGTGCACATTAAGGAGGGGCATTCTCTCAATCCTCACATATATTACCCATACTGCCGTCAACCTTTCTCAATACATTAATATATGCTGATCCTCATTATCCTCAATATGGATGACGCTGTTTAAAATATGTTTTCTTCATCCAATTCAGGGTTGCAGAGGGAGCTAGCCTATCTTGG